TCTCTTGCAAAAGTTTATCCCAGAACCAAAGACATTAAGTCTCTTTCCCAAGTCACAGTGCTTAATGATGGGAATGTACTGCATTGGCAAACAGAACTCCCCCCTCACCTCCACCCCATAGAACTTTACTACTGAGCATGCTTCAAGACTAGAAGGAAAAGTTCTTCAGAAACTCCTTCAGTCCAAGTCTTTCACCATTACAGCTGTGTGGGCAGAGCAACCTGAACAGTTCTCCATTCAACATCTCCTCATGTGCAATATGGCAGAACAGGAAGTCCTTAAGGCTCTGCTCAGATAGGATATTACAGATCCTTGTTTCCACACAGTGGCCATTGACACTGACTGCCTGAAGCGGTGTGGAAGGTGGCTTCTCTTGGTCATTCCTAACCTCCTTGAAGTGTCAGGGCCTCTGGTGCTAGACTGAGTGTCAGCCTATCTCCACAACTTATAGCTTGAATGCCTGGGCAGGTTTCTCTTCTATTCTAGATTACAAACTGAAATAACTCTAGTATCTACCCCTTCCCTTGACTATCATGATGAAGAGTTTAGACTGCGTGTCAGAGGCTCAGTGGTGTTATGTAAAAGACATTTGTTGAGTATCCTGTAGCCTGTGGTATTCATGCAGCCCTCTTCGGTGACTCATCAAACAGTTTTACAGATGAGGAAATGTTCAGAAGTTCTTGCCCATAGCCTCGTGGTTAGGATATGACAAAACCTGCCTGTTATCTGACCCTTTAAACAGACTTCAGTGTCTGTGAGCTGGTTGCTAAGGAGGCTTTTCTCTGAGTCGTCTGGTGCAGGAATTTTCTTCTTCTTTTTAAAATTTATTTATCTTTATCTGGAGTGCATTGATGTTTGTGCCCACATGTCTGTGTGATGGTCTCAGATCTTGGAGTTACAGACAGTTGTGAGCTGCCATTTGGGTGCTGGGAATTGAACCCTGGTCCTCTGGAAGATCAGTCAGTGCTCTTAACCGCTGAGCCATCTCTCCAGTCCCGGAATTTTGCAACCCCATGTAATAATTACTTTATTTATAAGGTAGGGGGTAATGATTTGGGACCTATGTTCATTGTGCAATAATCAACTCTGGGCATCATCCATCACCTCAAAGGTCATTTCTCAGTAATGAGAACATCCCAAACCCTGCCTTCCAGCTTTGTTGAGCTACAGTGGAATGCTGTGGACTGTGATCACCCTTCTGCGTCATAGTGTGCCAAAACTTGTAACTTGTTTCTCTTACTAAACAACAGGTACATGGACACTGTGGAACCCTTCATCCACATAAAAGATGAACTCTTGTCATTTGGGGCAACATGGATGAATCTGGAGGTCAAAATGTTAAATGAAATTAGCCCGACACAGAAAGACTGTGATATCACTCACATATGGATTCACACATAGGAAAATAGAGGCTCTTAGAGGTTGGGGAGGGTAGAGAATGGAGAAGAAAGAGATGAGATTAGCTGATGGGTTCAGGAATGCCATACATTTTCTATTTGTTCTTATCTACGTGAAATCTTCATTCATACAGAAATTACCCTGCCGCCATCCTTGTGCCAGTATTCTGTTGTTTATGCATTTCACATGTCTGTTCACACCATGTGCCTCCTTTTTAAGGTTCTTAAGAGTGGCAGGTCCTTGTCACTACAGATTGTCCATTTATATAATGAGCCAAACCCAGATCAGATCATCTGCCTTGAAAAGTACAAGGAAACTCTGAAGTCCAAATTCTTGTCCCTTTCATTTCCTAAACTAAGGAGTATCTTGGATGCAGTCACATTCACCTTGAGCAGCTTGAAGAATCTCTGGGTAACCATGTTGCTACTCATGGATGCTCTCTAGCATGGAAGACATGGGAAAGCCAGCCTTCCTGGCTATCACTACCCATGGATGCTCTCTAGCATGGAAGGCATAGGAAAGTCAGATTTCCTGGACATTGGTACCCATGGATGCTCTCTAGCATAGAAGACAGAAAAGCCAGCCTCCATAGTCATCACTTTGGCCTTTGGGGCCACATTCAGGTGAGCAGCAAGAGACTCAGCATCACATCAAGCTTCATCCTATACTGGAGCGCATAGTCAAAGTTGATGCTCTTCACACACCATGCAGAGTAGAGTGGTACTGCACTACAGCAGGTCTTCCTGGTATGAATCTGGGAAAAACCTGGGAGGTTAACTTATTGTCTCAGAGCGACAGTGGGTGACCTAGTCAAGACCTTAGCCATATTCTTTACTTTCAAAGCGTACCGTCAGGACTGCCATGCAAAGACATGTCAGGGCAGAGACAGAAGGTGGGCTTACCCATATTGAAGGTCTACTTCATGGCAAGCACCACTCAGGATTCTCCACTTACAAATAACTGGGAGTTGTATGAGTTACTTTTCATCAGTGTGACAAATTCTTAAGGTGGAAAAACGTATCGGTGCTACAGCTTTGCAGGTTTCAGTCCACAGTTGGCTGGCTCTGTTGTCATGGTCTGGGATAGCAGTGGAATGTCACAGTAGCTCCAGCATGTGGTAGGGTGAATTGTTCACTCCACTGTGGCCAGGAAATAGAAAGGGAATGTGTCTGAGAACTGACTTCTTTCCTTTCATGCTCCCCTGGGGCTCCTAGCTCATGGGATGGTGCCTCTCCAGTTCAGGGGTCTCTAGAAATGGCCTCCCAAACAAATGCAGTGATGTGTCTTACTAACCTTCCTAGGTATCTTAACCCAATCAAGCTATGGTCAAGATACGTCCTCTGGAAATGTTCTGTATATATTCTATCGGTGACTTCTTATATATTCCCAGAGTGTAGAAGATGCTGTGCTTGAATTTGACTCTTTGAGAAGTACTCAATAGCTCTGCATGTGGTACACCATACTGAATGTTGAATGCACACTTGAAAGAATGTCTGCTCTGCAATTCGGGGTGGAGTGTTCCATAAATATCCATCATGAGAGGCTATGGGTACTGCACCGAGGGAGATTTGCTGGTGACAGAAAGCTTTTGTGTTCTTTTATTGCTGTGATACTCAAATAAATAAACCCACATTAGGATGCAGGATTGTTCCCTCTCTCTCTCTCTCTCTCTCTCTCTCTCTCTCTCTCTCTGTCTCTGTCTCTGTCTCTGTCTCTCTGTCTCTCTGTCTCTCTCCCTCCTTCTCTCTCTGGGTATGAGTTTGGGTATATCGTCAGTTTCTTAGAATGTTATCTTCCACAATTTATTCACAGGAGGAGAGAAGGGCAATATCCAAGTGGGTGAAAAGTCATGTAGAGGAGACAAACTGTGCCAACATGTCCTCCCTGTGACCCCAGGAACTCTACAGATAGCTGGAGCCCCAGAGAAAACAGCTCGATACGTGCCCAATACAGATTCACCCACAGAAATGAGGAAAGATGCTATGTTATGAGCCTGTCTCTTCCCTGAATGTATTCAAATGGCATTTATCCAAGGCCTGCTGTCTTACTTCTATGGATGATGTCCCAGGGAGCCAGGAACTGGTAGCTCACACATGATGGGAATTTATTTTTCACAATTCTAGCTGTGATCAAGGTACTGTCTTCTGAAAATGTTGTCTCTTTTATATATGAGCATCTAAATTATTCTGTGCTCAGTCCTGTAGCAGAAGACTTAAGGAGTGTCTTTGGTAAAAATGCATGTCACAAAGGCTTCAACTTCATGTACTAATTACCTGTGGAGGTCTGAATGAGAAAAGCCACAACCATCCCCTGGCTCCCAAGTTTGCACAAGGGAGTATAGATGGTTTAACATGCAATTATGTGGAATAAGGCGGGGGTGGGGGAACCAGAAGAGCTAAGATGCTGGACTAGAATAGGGAAAGCAGGGTCTGAGCATCTATGCCTATGAGACCTGGGAGGGATTGCTAGGCTTCCAACTTTGAAGGATTTTCAAACTTTCATCAAACTGAAAGCACTGCCCAGGGCTAGGATGTTTTTTCCCAGTAGCTAAGGGGGAATAGTTAGGCCCTATTTATATGCATCTTACAATCCAGGAGGCATCCGAGGCTGTAAGCTTGAGATCATAAGCAAGTTACACAGGATCTACAGGCAGCTACGGAATGCTTCTCAGGTATGGAAAGCTGCATCCATCCCCATTTGCAATGTCAGCCTAGGGCCTGGGGTCCCCACTTCACCAATGAGATGAAGATACTGAACACCACGCTTATTCAAGGCCTCTCTGAGTGTATGTTTATTGTGCCATGCCCACCAACCCAACCACATGTGGCAGTCACAGAAGCTGCCTAGATCAGGGGTCTCAGCCTGTGGGTCTGGACCCCTTTGAGGGGCAAACAACCCTTCCACAGGGGTTACATGACAGATACCCTGCAAGTTAGATACTTACATTACAGTTCACAAGAGTAGCAAATTTACAGTTATGAAGTACCAATGAAAATAATTCTATGGTTGTGGTCTTAACATGAGGAAGTATATGTGGTGAAGGGTCGCAGCATGACCATGATTGAGATAGACTCTCGTTTCTTGTCTCTATCTTAAATGGCTTAAGGATCCCACGTAAGCTCCAGATTCCCAAAATTCTCACTTGTAAAATAGATAATTTCATCACTTACCAAATACAATAGTGATTGTATATATCTCTTGATGTGGTGAGGCATCTCAATACACGCCAGTAACATGCTACAATCAGAGTCAGGCTAACTGGTTTTCGGTCATCTCAAAGACCGTTTATTTGTGCTTGGGAATGGTTAAAACTGGACAATCTTGTCAGGTGTTGTCCCTCCTCCTTATCCTTCTTTGCTACAGAACACTGAAAGTTGTTTCCCGTCTACCCATATCAAGTGTTTCTGAGGGTTAAAGAGATGCATACAAACCCTCAGTACATTTGCCCGACACATTAATACACCGTGCATGTTGGCTACTGAGATTATTATTAGCCCAGCAGGACAGGGGGGAGCATTGGGGGGTCCCTAGGGTGTGATCACTCCTGTTTACTCTTTGGCCGATACTTTTCTGGCCAGGAATCATGAGTTTGTTTTTCTGGTACGGAGCTTGCCCTGGTGTTCTGGAGTGACCCCACAGGGCTGACTGAGCTCATTATACAAAGCTGTATGCTGGGTCCTGTCCAGCTCCATCCAGCCCCACCCCCTTGCCTGCTGAGCCCGTGTGCCTACGATCCGCAGGACTGTCACTAGCTAGCGATGTTTTCACTCTTATTCTGAACCCTCTCCAAATCGCCTCCCTGAGACACCTTTTCTCTCTCTTCTGAAGAGGCGAGGGGACTCCAGGGCCTCTGAGGTAATTGTTTGACGACCCCCACCCCCATTCTCTTTCCTACAAGCTCTGTTTTCTGGTGTGCTTTTCCAATATGAGTCAGATGGGAAAGGGCACGAGGGTATTGAGGAAAAGAGTGGTGGTGTTAGCCAGCCCGACTTCATCCTCGCTGTGGGGAGAGCAAGAGGAGCCTGGGACACGGGGTCACACTTCAGTTTTCTAATAGGGGTCACACCTACGACACACTGATTACATGTTGACATATTCTGCAGCATAATCATGACTGTGCTGTTTTGCTTCTTGTCAACCTGATATGAACTGAGACAACTGGGAAGACCGGACTCTCACTTCGGAATTGCCTCCACTTGGTTGGCGTATAGGCATGTCTGTGAAGCATTTTCATGATTGCTATTTGGTGGGGGAAGGCTAGCCTACTGTGGGTGGTGCCACTCTGGGGAGGTAACCTTGGCTTGTACAAGAAGAAAGTTAAATATGAGCCTGGTAGCAAGTCAGGAAGCAGGGTTCCTGTGTGGTCCCTATCTCTGCTACTGATTGAGTTCTTGCCCTGACTTCCCTCAATGAAGAACTGCAATCCAAACATGTAAGCTAAAACAACAACAAAACAAAACAAAAAAAACTAAAAACACCTCTTTCTTCCCTGTTCCTGTTGGTCATGGTGTTTATCACAGCAATAGAAAAAAAAAGAAAGGAAGGAAGGAAGGAAGAAGGAAGAAAGGAAGGAAGAAAGGAAGAAAGAGAAAATGCTTGGACAATGACAAGTAAAAGGTCATTGTGCCATTGTGACGATTCAATATCCTTAGCTACCCACAGATAAAGCTTAGCATGACACCTGGAATGTTGTGGGTTTCTGGCACAAGCTACCTGTTGTTATGTGTAGGGAGCCTTAGTGGCTTCTGGGCCTCAGTTGCTCTGTTTTCACACTGTCTAGATAACATAGGCATCATGTCTATAGCTCTTCTCGCTCAGTAGTGACTCCGTTGAGTAGTTATAACCGGGATGACTAGCCCCCAACCCCACAACATGCCCTGCCTGGCCATGGCTTGTAGGGGGCACAGAAACAGGAGCATGGCAGCCCGCTGTGTGTAGCACAGTGTATGGAAAGCTCCTAGAGCCTCTACTTCCAGCACTCTTCTCTACTCTTTGCCTATCAGAATTCCCTTTCACAAGGTGGAGCCACTTAAAAACACACAAAGGCCAAGCCTCCAATCAGGGCTATGTCTGTCAGCTCCTTATATGCAGAGAAGTTGGCTCACTGGGTTTGCAGACACTCCTGTCTTCTGGCTTTCTGTGTCATTCATATAAGAGACAGGCTTTCTCTGGAGAATGGCTTCTTCTGGGCTTCTCTCAGGTTGGAGGTGTCCTCCACCCCTTTATTGAGGGGCAAAGCATGGATCCAGATGGCTCAAGAAAAACCTGCAATAAAACACGACTTCCTCTGGCTGAAGGTAAGACAGTCTTCACACTGGAATTGAGGGTCTTGGTTCAGCTCTGAGAAATGGCCTGGATCTCAGAAATGGCTAAGATCTCAGGCATGGGGGGGCTTCCCTGGGACCCATTCTCTACCCTCATGAGCTGGGGCATGTTTCCTATACAGGCATCTTTGTTTCTCATCTGAAGAGTGTCGATTACTTCTCTTGGTGAGAGGAGTGAGAGGAATCCCTGCTTGTGTTCAAATTGTTGAATCCCAGAGCTTAGAATAGGGCATGAGCAGTGGTGACTGATTGGCAAACACTTGTTTTGGAAGAAATACTAAAGTCTGTGCAATTCCGGGAACAGGTGTCTTGAATAGTTGCCTGTGCCTGTTCTAAACCAGAATCTGACCAATCGTAACTTCTCCACCTGTGGGCGCCATTAAAGTTTTATTGGAACACGGCTATGTCCATCTTTTATATGAAGCTGTTGTGCAGCTTTGCGCCTATACTGGGAGAATTTAATAGTTATGGGAGAGACGTGGCCACAAAGCCTAAAACATAGGCTGTTAGGCACAAAACTCGGTCTCTTGTTCCGAATATCAAGGCCATCTTGTCTGAAAGTGGTAGTGGATTTTGTTTTCCCATTTTGCAGGTGTTTAGGGAAATTATAAATCAGAAACCAGCAGTGATCTGGCCACCTTGAGGTGTGTGCCCTTTATATCTCTCCTTCAATATTTGGAGTTTTTGTCACCACTTTTTTGGCCCCTCTAGTTCTGCTCTGAACACACCAAATGCTGTGCCCCCCCAGCTCTCCAATGTAAGGTGTTACTTTCATTTCTATGTAAAGAGAAACCAAACCCACCTGTTAGCTGCTGACCTTTCCTTTAGGGACAGACCCTATGTCCTAAGAGAGTTTTAGGGCCAGGGAAGCACACTGGGCATATCGCCTTCAGTATAGGCTACTTTGTAGATTGAAAGGCTGGGGTGCTGGCAGGCCCAGGACAGAGCCCATGAGAAGAAAGCACATCGCTAGCCATTCTTTCCCAGCATTCCAAATGTCATGACCTTGGTCTTCTTGGATTCAATCTGTAAGATGGTCACAGTGATGCCTATCAAACTGGTTGTCATTCAGGCATGAGTGTCTATTGTCCAAAACACAACAGAGTTGTTAAATATACCTATCATCTTGTTTACTATTTGGGTATGAGATGTATAAAAATCTCTGCTATGTGCTGTCACTTTTTCTAAGTGTGTTTGTTGGGTGGGACCTTGTATGCTGGCCTCATGAGGGACAGCTTCCTAGGCATCTATGCATCTATGAAATACACTGAGGTGTGGAATTGAAGTCCTGGTGCCAGTTGAGAAGTCCTACGGACCAGTCTTGGAGCACCACCGTACGGCTATCAGAATTTTTCTTTCTTTCCATCCAGAACAAAGCTGCAGGCTCTCGAGTTCCTCAGCCCCAAGCACAGGACCACACAGGGGTCTCTATAGCCTGAGGAATCCACTGAGAACTGGATATCTGAGACTTAGCTTGTGGTGAGCAGTTACCGTCTAGAGAAGAACTCCTTCAGTGTTGTCGTCTTACAGGTACGCAGGGGAGAGAGAAAGAGAGTCAGGCCTCCAGTTGGCACTCAGCTGGAGTGCTGAGGTGAAGTGGCTTACTCAGGGGCCACCCAGCGAAGAGCAGCTTGGCTGTCCTCCCAGGCTCGATCCCTCCGGTCATCCAAATATGGAAGCACATGGTGACACAGAGCCACATGCTTCTCCCGGGTCTTCTGAGGCAGAGCGCCTCCAAGGACACTTCGGAATGAGGGAGTAGAGTGCATGAGGCCTCTGGCAGGGCCCGCTGGGAGAAGCCTCTCAGGGATCCTGGTGGAGTTTTGAAGTTCTCTCTCTCTCTGAAAGGGCTTGGGTCTTGGAATACTGCCCAGACATGGCAGCAGAAATGTCCTCCCAGACTGTAGGGATCACCTTAGCCCAAGCCTTCCTCCTCTGGAAGCCTTCCTTACCCGTTGCCTGCCCCTTTGACAGCCATCTTGAGACCAACCTTGAAAGTTATTTCAGGGTTCTCTGTGTGCAGAAATACAATGTCACTCATTTTTTCTTCCTATGAAAGTGACATATAATCACCAAAGAATAGTCAAGTGAGAAGAAATACCCTCAATTCTTTTCTTCTTTCCCTCCTTTCCTCTTTCTTCCCCTTCCCCGTCTCCATATCCTTTCTCCCCTCCTTTTAATGTTCTCCTTTCCTTCCTTTCCTCTCCTCCTTTTCCTGTCTTCCTTTAAAAAGCCTTATTAAATATTTTTGCATATTTATGCAAATATGCATTGATTTACACACCACCTGGACACCTGTTCTTGGCTAACTGCCAGCTTGGTTCAGGTGACAAACAAGATGGATGAGGCTCAGCTCTGCTGAGCTGTGCCCAGTAGGGGACACGGACCTACATCAAACATTGGATGACATGCAAGCAGATAGCTAGCTTTTGTTTAAGTGGGGCAAAAATAGACAACGGAGGGGAACAGAATCAAAGGGGAACACACACGTTTGGCACGGGATTCAACCTCGTCTCTTTCTGGGGAATAGGATGGTCAAGCCATGACCTGAAGGCACTGGAGCTGCTGCAGAGAAGTGGGAGGTGGTCCCACAGGCGGTAGAGACAGGGCCATTCATTCATTCATTCATTCATTCATTCATTCATTCTTCTTTCATATATTGCATCCCTGTGGCAGTTTCCCCTCCCTCCACTCCTCCGAACCCCTCCCCAAACTCTTCCCTCTCCTCCAGATCTGCTCCTTCTCTGTTTCCCTTCAGGAAAGAGTAGGCCTCCCAGGGACATCAATCAAATGCCACATAACAAGTTGCGATGAGACTAAGCACATACCCTCATATCAAGTCTGGACAAGACAACCACCCAGCAGTAGGAAAAGGGGCTCCAAAGTAGGCAACAGGGTCAGAGACACCCCTTGTATCCACTGTTAGGAGGCCCACAGGAAGACCAAGCTACACAACCATAACATACATGCAGAGCCCCCAGCTCAGAACCATACAGGCTCCCTGGTGATGACTTCAGTTTCTGTCAGCTCCTGTGAGCCCTGCTTAGCTGACTCTGTGACCCCTGTCCCTGCAGTGTCATTGACTGTTATTTTAAAAACCACTCAGGCTGACTGTGTGTGCCCTGGGACTGGGAACTCAAACAGAGATATACTTTGGAGAGAGACCCAGAAGACCAATGGCCTTGGTGCAATATGGCAGAGAAAAAGAGGGCATTGGGTTCTAGAAAGAGCTCCAAGGTATCACCTGTCTTCAGAGGAGTCCTTCTAGCCAGCAGTAGCAGAAACTTAAAAGCCAGTGGAGCTGCTATCAGAGATCTGAGATTGGAAGGATGGAAATTTGTCCTGTGACTTTGAGCAGTAGGGGAATCTGAGCATCAGAACAAGGAGCAATCTTCTTAAAATCTCAACCGAACCATGGCGGGAAGGAAAACAGCTTCTCAGGATCCAAGCCTTTGTCTGTCTTCTAGACTGTTCCTATCCATAGCTTTGTTCCACAGGATGCTAGGTTTCATCTCGCCTCCTCGGAAGTACAATGCATGTGTGTGTGTGTGTGTGTGTGTGTGTGTGTGTGTGTGTGTGTGTGTATGTTTGTATGTATGTATATGGTGTCTTTGTTCCAATAGTGCCTCAAGGAAGGTCCCAGGTGACACTTATGGCATCGAATTCTAGAGTGATGTCAAACTTCCCCTAGGCTCTCCTCCTTGCAACAGCCTGGAGGACTGCCCAGCTACCGCCTTCTCCTGGCTGGCTCCAGGCTGGCTGCTCTCTGTGGGAGTCTGCACCTGGCTGGAGTAGCGTCCTCTGCAGTTCTATGTGAGTCTCGTCCACCTCTCTGACCCAGGCTGCTGTTGAAGAGGCTCAGGGTCCTAGTTAGGTGTGATAACACGCAATCCCTGCTACAGTGGAACTTCAGCATCTCCTTCTTCATACTCTTTCATGGTCCAGCATTATCCTGGGGAGAGGGCAAAGGCTTTTATAAAAGCCACCGCCTTTCTACCACCGGCTCCCAGTGAGGCGCAGATCTCGAGTTCCTCTTTTCTATTCTAGACCAGTCATCTCCCTCCACTCCTCTGAGCCATTATGTTGAAGGTTCTCAGACAACCGTGCTTGACTCCTTTGGCTAGAGTGAGGACTTCCACAGTGGAATACCAGGGGATCACATTTAGTAACAGAACTTCTCATTCTGAGGTAGGCATTAGCTTCCTGGAATAAGGACCAAAATTCACAGCTTCCCTTGCAGCTACAGGTGGCCATGTGATTTCTCTCTCTCTCTCTCTCTCTCTCTCTCTCTTTTATCATTTAAAGTTTTTAAAAAACCAGAAACAAGCTTGCTTCCCATGTCAATCCCAGCTCTCTCTCCCTCCCCTCCTCCCCAGCTCCCCACCAACACCCCTAACCCCCCACCCAATCCCCACTGGACTCTCCAGGGAGGGTGAGGCCCTTCATGGAGTATCTCCAAAGTCTTTCATATCATTTCGAACAGGGCCTAGGCCCTCCCTCATGTGTCCAGGCTGAGAGAGCATCCCTTGATGTGCAATGGGCTCCCAAAGTCCATTTGTATGCCAGGGATAAATATTGATCTACTACCCAAGGTCCCATAGATTGCTATGGCTTCCTCACTGACACCCAAATTTAGGGGGTCTGGATCAGTTCCATGCTGGCCTCTCAGCCATCAGTCTGGGGTCCATGGGCTCCCCCTTGTTTAGGTCAGCAGTTTCTGTGGGTTTCACCAGCCCAGTCTTGACCCCTTTGCTCATCACTCCACCCTCTCTGACACTGGGTTTTCCAGTTGGTATCATTCTTGTATATCTCTGGAAATATCACTAGTGTCATATCTCTTCTTAAACATATAGTAGCTCTCTCTATTATGGTATCTCTCATCCTGCTCTCCTCTATTCTTCCCCCACTCAACCTTCCTGCTCCCCCATGTCCTCCTTTTCTCTTTCCCCCCTTTCTCCCCCCTCTCCCCTCCCCCCATGCTCCCAATCCACTCAGAAGATCCTGTCCCATTCCCTTCTCTGGGATACCATGCATATCTCTCTTGGGGTCCTCCCTGTTTCCCAGCCTCTCTGGCAGTGGGATTGAAGGCTGGTACTCCTCTGCTCCATGTCTAAAATCCATATATGAGTGAGTACATACCATGTTTGTCTTTTTGTGACTGGGTTACCTCACTCAGAATGGTTCCTTCTAGTGCCATCCATTGGCCTGCAAATTTCAAGATTCCATTGTTTTTTCCACTGAGTAGTACTCCATTGTGTAAATGTGCCACATTTTCTCTATCCATTCTTCAGTTGAGGGGCATCTAGACTGCTTCCAGTATCAATTCTCTCTCTTTTGAAACAGGGTTTCTCTGTGTAGCTTTGGAGCCGTCCTGGAACTTACTTTGTATACCAGGCTGGCCTCTAACTCACAGAGATCTGTGCCTCTGCCTCCTGAATCCTGGGATTAAGGAGTATGCCACCACTGCTTTGCATGACTTATATCTTAACAACAGAATTTATAAATGCAAGCATCCTGAATGCATTCATTGAGAAGTTCTTATGGAGATGGAATAAGTAACCTATTCATCCTCCTTCCTAGTGAGAGTACAGAAATGATGGCTGATCCTTAAGAGGCTATGTTGAATAATGAGGGGTCCCCATATTTGGAGTTCTAAACTAAATCATTTAAAGACTTTTATTCTTTTAATGTTTATGTGTGTATGATGGGTTATGTGTAGTGTGTAGGTGCCAGAGGAGGTCAGAAGAGATACTCTGGAGTACAAGGTGGCTGTAAGCCTCTCAACATGGGTGTTAGGAGAACAAACATTCTTAACTGCTGAGCCATCTTTCCAGTCCTTGACAGAATCCTTTAAATCATTTTATACCCATTGCCAAAAGTTCTATGGCCTCAGAGCCAAGGATGATCTGCTCTTTGAGGTCTTGATTTGTCCTAGGAACCAAAGGCAGAAATAGTTGCCTGCTTTCCAGGGAATGAGCAACTAATGGAAATGACAGACAAGAGACAATGTTAGAGTAGTAATTAACAGTCAAGGAAGCATTGCCTTCTGTTGTGATAAGAACAAAGAAAGTCCATGTATGCTAGAAGACTCTGCATGCTGGAGGACCTTGTGTCCTCATTCCTAAGGTGTACATGCTTTGTGCAGCAGTTGATCGGAGTCCTCTTTGGACTTGACCTTGAATTGCCTTTGTTGTAGTTGATTGCTCCTGCTTGAAGTATAATCCTCATTTTTCTTCCATGATTCTACTTCCTAGGTAACCTTAGTCCCTAGCTTGGGTGTGTTTCTCATTGACTCAATTTTATTGAGTTTCAACATTCCACAAAGGATTTGATCCTTGCATGCTCCCTCCTATGTGTAAACAAATCCCTGGAATACTCATTTGTCCTTAGAGAGGTCAAGGTTGACTTCTCTCAAAAGTTCCCTGCCTGCTTCTTCTATGCCTGTACTTAGTATCTTAGGATCTCAGACACTGAAGGTCTTCCACATCTCCTCTCTGTAGCCTCCTGGTCCTGCCTCTGCCTTTTCATGT